GGCTGAGGCAGGAGAATCGTTTGAACCCAGGAGGCGGAGGTTGCAGTGAGCCGAGATTGTGCCACTGCACTCCAGCCTGGTGACAGAGGGAGATTCCGTCTCAAAAAAAGAAAAAAAAGAAGTCACACTTAAGCTGTGTGATCTTGGCCAAGGTACTTAACCTCTCGCCTCTCTGGGCCTTGGTTTCTTTAAGGGTAACATCGGGATGATAATATCTCTTATCTGGTTCCTCCCATCTGGCCCCTTGGCCAGGTCCTCACCTCTTCATGAGCAATTGCCATGGACTTCTGGTCTCTTCCCTTCAGATTCCCTGGGGGCCCAGATCCTATGTGGTCTTCCCCTTCCTTTCTGGCCATGCCATCACAGTCTCTTTGCTGATTCCCCTGCCTGGTGCGAGAGGGTCCCGGAGCTCAGTCCTTTCCTCTTCTCTGCCTCCTTCTTATCTGCACTCACCCTCTTGGCAATCCCACACAGTCTCATATGATATACCATCTATATGCCAATGACTTTCAAGTCTATCTCTCCAGTTCATTGCTCCCCAAATCTCCAGCTCCATATCTAACTGCTGACTTGACATCTTCACTCCATACACCCTACAATAGCCTGCAAGGACCTGCACAATGTCCCTTCCCCCAACCCATGACCCTCTCCCTGCCTTTCCTGCTTCACTCCAGCCACGGGCCTCCTTGCTGTTTCTGAACGCACTTGCTGCCCCTGTCTCAGGGCCTTTGTGCTTGCTTTTCTCTCCCCCTGGAACACTCCTCCCCCAGACATCCTTAAGTCTTTCTTTCTCAACGAAGCCTACCCTGACCATCCTGTTTAATACTGCCACCTGTGTCCCACCCCTGTATTCCCAATTCTCCCACCCTTCTCCGCTTTTTCTTTTCTCTATAGCACCTATCACTTTTGACATGATATATAATTTACTAATTTATTATGTTTTCTCTCATCTTTTCCTTTATTTGCTGACATGTAAGCTCTTTGAAGGGAAGAACCTTTATTTTATTTATCTGTGTATCCTAGACCAGGTACATTGCCCAGTGCTTTGAGAGGCCAAAGCAGGAGCATCACTTGAGGCCAGGAGTTTGAGACCAGCCTGGGCAACATAGCAAGACCCCGTCTCTACAACAATTTAAAAAATTAGCCTGGTCTAGTGACAGGCACCTGTAATCCCAGTTACGAGGAGGCTGAGGCGGGAGGATTTCTTGAGCCCAGGAGTTTGAGGCTGCAGTGAGCCATGATTATGCCACTGTACTCCAGCCTGAGCAACAGAGCAAGACCTGGACTCTTAAAAAAAAAAATATATATATATATATATACACACACACACACACACACACACACACACACACACACATGTTTATTGAATAAATGAATGAAAGAAAGAATAATAGTATTATTACATCCCTCTAAATTTTCAGTAGCTGCTTACTGCCTAGAAGGCAAAGTTCAAACATTTTACTACGGCATTCAAAGTCCACAGCTGGCCTTGAAATATCTGGCTATGCGAACTGTTGAATCATCTGTATGCTTGAGTTCTGAGTTCTCCCATCAATTTTTTTTTTTTTTTGATGGAGTCTTGCTCTGTTGCCCAGGCTGGAGTGCAGTGGCACGATCTCAGCTCACTGCAACCTCTGCCTCCCATGTTCAAGTGATTCTTGTGCCTCAGCCTCCTGAGTAGCTGGGATTACAGGCATGTACCACCACGCCTGGTTAATTTTTGTTTTTGTTTTTGTTTTGAGGCCGAGTCTCGCTCTGTCACCCAGGCTGGAGTGCAGTGGTGCAACCTTGGCTCACTGTGACCTCGCCTCCAGGGTTCAAGTGATTCTCCCACCTCAGCCTCCTGGGTAGCTGGAATTATAGGCACGTGCCACTACGCCAGGCTAATTTTTTGTTTTTGTTTTTGTTTAGTTTTGTTTTTGAGATGGAGTCTCACTCCGTCACCCCGGCTGGAGTGTAGTGGCATGATCTCGGCTCTCTGCAACCTCCACCTCTGGGGTTCAAGCAATTCTCCTGCCTCAGCCTTCCAGGTAGCTGGGACCACAGGTGCACGCTACCACACCCAGCTAAATTTTGTATTATTAGTAGAGACAGGGTTTCACCATGTTGGCCAAGCTGGTCTGGAACTCCTGACCTCAAGTGATCCACCAGCCTCAGCCTCCCAAAGTGCTAGGATTACAGGGGTGAGCCACCATGCCTGGCCAAGTTCTAGCATCTTAAGAAAACAACTCATGGAAGGGTAGTGATCTGCACACCCTGCTTCCTTTCCCAACCTGCCTTCCCTTTTTTTTTTTTTTTGGAAAGAGTCTCGCTCTCTTGCCTAGGCTGGCGCTCTGTTGCCTAGGCTGGAGTTCAGTGGTGCCATCTCAGCTCACTGCAACCTCCGCCTCCCGGGTTCAAGTGATTCGCCTGCCTCAGCCTGCTGAGTAGCTGGGATTACAGGCGTGCATCACCACGTCTGGCTAATTTTTGTATTTTTAGTAAGACGGGGTTTAACCATGTTGGTCAGGCTAGTCTCGAACTCCTGACCTTGTGATCTGCTTACCTCAGACTCCCAAACTGCTGGGATTACAGGCATGAGCCACTGTGCCTGGCCCACCTTCCCTTCTTAATCCCATCTGGGGCAGACCTCTGCCCTCCAGTGCCCCTGCCCACCTGTGAGATGGCTCTTCCCAAAATACTGCTTTGTGCCCCTTGCCTCATGCGCACAAACCTGCAATGACTCCTGCTGCTCATGAAGTCACATCCTAGCACCCAGCCTGGCCCTCAAGACCCCCTCATGGCATCTCCTCCCACCTCCTTTCCCATTGCTCCCTTCCCCCACAGCCAACTCACTTCATCCTAAATCTGCTCTGAGATTCTTGCTCCTACCCCTTTGCTCAACCTAGTCCCTCTTTTTACCACTTGTCAAAATCCTAACCTAACCACTCCAGGGAGGGGTGGCGGGCCTGGCTGAAAACCCACCCTCTTCATCTTGAGCACCCTTCCTTCTAGAGAGATCCCCTTCCCTGGAGCATCACTCTTGCCGATGCTTGCTGAGGGCCTTGGTGAGTCAGGCAGTGGGCTGGGTTCTGTGGATACAGTGGCACATTGGGCAGACCTGTCCCAGCTCTGTGGAGCATGTAGTCAGGGACATGCTGCCTGGGGGCATTTCGCTGAAGGCCCAGGTAGGCAGAAGGTGTACCACATACATCTTGTATTCTAGAGTCCTATTCAGTATTCAGTGGTTGCTCAAACAGTGTGAGCCAAGGACCCACCTACTCTTGCTGAGTCTCTGACATGCTGGCCCAGGGCTGGAATCTGGGTCATAGGATACACCTCTAGGCCTGGTCAGGTACCCCAGTTAGTTGCCATCCAGATAGCCTGTCCCAAAGCTGCCCTGAACTCAGATCTTCAGGTCTCTGGGCCTGGAGTGTACATCCCATTTCTCTGGGCCCAGCCAGAGCCTCACCTACACAGGGCCTCTCTGGGGCACCCCAGCCTCTGACCTTTGCTTGCTTTTCCCTGACAGCCAGTTAGGTGAGGAAAATAAAGACCCTTAATGTTTCTCTGGCATTTTATTACTGCACTTACCTAGTTGTTATCTGGATATTGTCTCAGAACAACTTCCACAGGCATATAGGAGGGGCACTGTTAGGCCCAGTATACAAAAGAGAAACTACACCCACTTTGGCGACAAAGTTCAAGGATACCTGACAGTGTGTGGCCGGGACAGGCACCCAGGCTTTGTGATGCCACACAGGGCCATTGACTCACAAGGCAGTGTGCATGTTGAGGACAGGAGCCCAGGCGTGGGGACATGGTGGGAATCGCTGTGTGTGCTTGCAGGCCGGTGGCATGGCTCTGTAAGGCGGGTGGGGAGTGGCCACAGGAAGAACCCAACCCCGACACAGAGGATCCAGGATGACTTCTGTCACTTTTGAGCCGTGCAACAGTTGGTGAGCACCTTCGTGTCCTTGAACCTCAGTCTCCACCCGTAAGTAATGGGAGTAATGACAGCATCCGGTCACCTCCCCACAGTGGGGAGAAGGTGGGGAGAATGAACAGCAAAGCACCTCGATGGCAACGAGACAACACTTAGGGAAGCGGGGGATGGAGCCTCCAGCCGTCCGGCCCATGTTTCAGTTTCACAGACACCTGCTCTGTGGCAACAACCAGGGGATCTTGGGGCTGTGAGAACTGGGTGGCTGCTTTGACCCTCAAGGGCATCCAGTCTGGGCTCCTTTCCTTGAGATAAGCATGTCCCGGCTGGGCAGAGCCCTCCCCAGGAGGCGGAGGCACCTGCTCACACAGGCCTTTGCCCCGGATTCCCTATTTGGTTCACTCCAGACCCCGAGCCAGGACATCTATGGGACATGTCATACACAACACGTCCAGAACTGAACTCTTGGCCATCCTCGCCTCTCTAGCTTGCCTGGCCCGGGGATGGCGGCTCCTTCCTCCCGTCTCCCTTCCCAGGCCAGAATCCTTGCAGTTGCCCCTGATTCTTCTTTCTCTCACATCCCACATCCAGTCTCTCAGCAAACCCTGTCCACTCTACCTTCTAATTACAGGTTGAATGACATGACAGTGCCACATTCAACTGTTCTTTTTTTTTTTTTTTTTTCCCACTGTAGCCTTGACCTCTTTGGCTGAAGCGATCCTCCTGCCTTAGCCTCTTGAGTAGCTGGGACTACAGGTATGTGCCACCACGCACAGCTAATTTTTTATTGTTTTGTAGAGATGGGGTCCCACTATGTTGCCCAGACTGGTCTCGAACTTCTGAGCTCAAGTGATCCTCCTGCTTCGGCCTCCCAAAGTGCTGGGATTATAGGCATGAGCCACCGCACTTGGCCTTCACCTTGTGCACCCTGATAGATCCAGAATCGACCGCATCTCCCCACCTCTCCTCTCTGACTGCGCCAGCCCCAGTGGCTGCCAGGCTGGTTCTCAAACCCTCCAGGCCTACTCCTGCCAGGGGCAGCAGCCCTATCCCTGGATATCCACATGCCTCATGCCCTCATCACCTGTGACTTTTTGCACAGATCTCACCTTCTCCTGGAGGTCCACCTTGACCTTACTAATCAAAACTATAACTCACTACCCAAACCCCGACCTGTCCCTGCTCCCCATTCCTCTTAGCCTGTTCTATTTTCCCATAGCCCTTAGCCACCTTCTACCATACTATAGATGTGAGTCACTTATTTTATAATTTTTGAAATTGTTTTGTAGAGATGGGGTCTCACTTTGTTGCCCAGGTTGGTCTGGGACTCCTGGGGTTAAGTGATCCTCCTGCCTCGGCCTTCCAAAGTGCTGGGATTACAGGCATGAGCCACCACACCTGGCCTTTATGACATTTATTGTTTTACTGCCTCTTCCCACTAGAGTATATGCTCCACGAAGACAGATTCTTTAGCTCTGTACTCTGCAGTTGATGGTATTTCCTGCTGTTTAGAGCAGTGCCTGGCACAGAGAAGGTACTCAATAACCATCTATTGAACAAAAGAATAAATAAACAAATGAATAGATAAATGGAGGGAGCCAACTCCAGCCCCAGCCTCTGCAGCTTCATGCCCAGGAACACAGCGTGTTCTCTCCCTGGCACCAACGCCACAGTTCTTGGCACCCAGGAGGGTCTCCAACTCAAAGTTATGTGTAAAATGAAGGTGAGGACAGGGCCAGTGAAGGTTATTCCCTGGACCCCATCACACTCCCTGAATCCCTGCAGGGCAGGATGGACGATCCCTTCTCAAGGCTCTCCTCTCATTCCCACTCTGAAGAGCACTACGGGGAAATGAGAGCTGAGCCCACAGCCCCCTCCCCCGCCATCACCCACACAGTTTCCACAGCAACAACAGCTTCCTTAATAATGCGATTAAACAGCTGGATGGGGCTGATAAGGGGAAAGGTCCGGCATCCAGAATGGACCACGTGGCAGAGGCCTCCCTCATGGCAGACTTCATGGTCATTGAAGCTGAAATCACTGCAGACTCATACAGGCGGTAGGTGGGGGTGGGGACACTGGAGCCCTCTGCCCCAGCTTTGCCAGGGACTTCCCAAACCCTGGGGGCCCCAGGCCTGTTGACAGCCTCTGTCATAAGAAGAGTCATTACTTCCTTATTCCTGTGTGGCAGTGGAGGGGGAAGCCACCACTGCAGGACTGCTCCTGAAGTCCCAGATAGGGAACAGATGGACGGACAAAACCATTGACTCAGCAGCAATGAAGGCATGGAGAGAGCAAGGACACGCTCTGATCCCCACTCACTCTCACTCAGCCTTTGGAAGGCCTGGGGGCAGGGGCCAAAAACTGCCTGTGCTGTAATCCCAGCACTTTGGGAGGCCGAAGTGGATGGGTCCCCGGAGGTCAGGAGTTTGAGACCAGCCTGGCCAACATGGTGAAACCCTGTCTCTAGTAAAAATATAAAAAGATTATCTGGGCGTGATGGCACATGCCTGTAATTCCAGCTACTCAGGAGACTGAGGCAGGATAATTGCTTGAACCTGGGAGGGGGAGGTTGCAGTGAGCTGAGATCATGCCACTATATTCCAGCCAGGGTGACAGAGCAAGACTCCTTTTCAAAAACAAAACACAACAAAACAAACAAACAAAAACTGGTTGTGCTGCGCCTGCTGGCCCCACGCAGGGATGGCTCACAGGCTCAACTGGCCGATCTGCTTCTGGAAGGGGCTTTGTTTCACTGAGCTCCTGCTGCGGGCCAGGATGATCATTTCACGCTCATGGCAGCTGCCATCCAGGGCTGATGCTGGGATTAGACCCAGGAAGTCTCGTTCCAGGTCCCAGCTCCTTCACATGGGATTACAGTCTTTCCTGTACACCTGGTAGGATTCCAGCATGGTATCCCACCCTGGGGATAGAACACTTGCACCCAGATCACCTTTCAGTCATGCAGCCCATTCTCATATCACCTGCTTTGCGCAATTCTTCTCACAGAGCTGAGGGGGCAGAGTGGCTAACACGTGGGTAGTGGCCTAGATGGGGTTCTGGGAGACCCTGGCTAGAAACCAGAATATCCAGTTAGGAGAAATCTGTCTGGGCGCGGTGGTTCACACCTGTAATCCCAGCAATTTAGGAAGTTGAGGTGGGCAGATGACTTGAGGTTAGGAGTTCGAAACCAGCCTGGCCATCATGGTGAAACCCTGTCTCTGCTAAAAATAGAAAAATTAGCCGGGCATGGTGGTGTGCACCTGTAATCCCAGCTACTTGGGAGGCTGAGGCAGGAGAATTGCTTGAACTCAGGAGGTGGAGGTTGCAGTGAGCCGAGATTGTGCTACTGCACTCCAGCCTGGGTGACAGAGCGAGACTCCATCTTAAAAAAAAAAGGAGAAATCCAAGCCTAGAGTTAGGCTCTCATTTGCTGTCCCATCCTGCCCCCTGCCAGCCCCACCCACTGCACCCCAGTGCCAGAAACAGAAACAACTTCAGATCGGGGAGGGGAGGGGCCCAGCCACCCCAGCACTGGCACACCAGGTCTCATTTCACCCTCAACTGCCCAGGGATCCTGCCCCAGTGCGGAGGACTGAACACAGTCTGGGTGCTCTGGCCCTACCTCCAGGGTGGCTCAGCTGGTCGTCCCTGCCAGGACCTTCCTCCCTGGAAGCTTGCCCAGTGTTTCAGGACCATTTCCCTGTCTGGGGGGGGGCCACAGGCAGGCTTGGCAAAGCTCCCTCTTGAATGCCATTTCCCTGACTCACTTCCTTCCCCATATCTCTGGCCCTTAGAGACCCAGGCCCAGGTGACGTGGGGGAACAGCAGGATTGAGGAGAAGCCAGCCTGGGGTCACAAGCAATGAAACACCGTAGCCAGAAGCCAAGAGCTCGGAGGTCGAAGCCACTCAGCATGGGGTTCGCTTGTAGCAGCTAAGATGGCAGAAAGCAGCCCGGGAGCCCTGGCCTTGCAGGGAAGACTGGGTTCCTGAGGGGAGGGTGAGCTATGGTGTCTGCTCAGTGGAGGAGTGTCTACCTCCCACTCAGCTTCCCCGTGGATGTGCAGGTCACTGTCTTCATTTGAGAGTCAAAATACATTGGCATAGGAACCTTGCCCATTACTCATACATTTTGGTGGCTGCCTACTAGAAGGCAGAGGAGACCCTGATACCCAGGAGCTCTAAACTTTGAAGGGCCTTAATCATGCATGGCCTTGGCCCCCAAGCCCAAGGCTCATCCTTCCAAAATTGGGCAACTCCAGACCTGAAGTAGGCCCCAGAGCCCACCTCAGTTCTGCTGGAGCCCAGAGAAGGTGAGTTATTTGCCCAAAGTCACACAGCTGGTGAATAGCAGAATTGGGGCTAGCTAAAACAGAGCAGGAGACACAGGGAGCTGAGCCTCCAAGGGACCAGGGATCTGCCCCTCCCTAGGATGGGTAAGCAGCTAAGGGAACAATGAGGTTACCTTCCCCATGTGGGCCTGACCAAGGGGAGACCCATAGGCCTCTACCAAGTGCTGCTTCTAAGTAAGCTCCATATGGAGAGCAGGAAGAGAGCTAGGGAAGGAGGAGTCCAGAAATCTCAGAGGAGGAACCAATGAATCCCCACTGGCCACATCTTCCCTCTTCCCAGCCACAGAATCTCAGGACCCCACCTTCTTTCCTGGCTTGAATCCTCTCTCCAGCATCCCTACCAAGCAGTCGCTAACCATGTCCTTACATACTCCCCAGTGACGGGGAGCTCACTACTTCTCAGGCAGTCCGTGCCATCTTTGGATGGCTTTCATGGTCAGGATCTTCAGTTTTCTAAGCTTCCTGGGGCTGTCAGATCAAGGCTAATTCTGCCTGTTTACCTGGGGGGTAAATAGCTCCAGGCCCTTCCTCCATATACTCCCTTCACCACCCAGGTGCTCCCCAACCTCTGTGATTCAGAACAGAGAGGAATCCTGCAGGCAGAGGCCAGCACAGCAGAGCAAAGGGACCCCACCTCCTCCCTTGTTCTGAGGCACCTCTGGCCTCCTGAGTAGTGAGGTGGTTAAATTACACAGTTCACTCTTTTGGAATTTATTTCCACAGAAACTCCCAAGGCACATTCAGGGAAGTTGGTAACCGGCTTCACAGTCGATACAGGTGAGAAACAGAGGGATTCATACAAATCATTCACCTGGCAGCTGCTGTGTGAGTACACAGATGTGTATACATCTGTCCCAAGGGCATGGTCCTCTCCAGTCTCCTACCCTCAGATTGAGCCGGGAACAGCCCCCAGCTCCCCAGCAAACAGCTGAAATGGGAGCCACTGGCCCAACAGCCCTGCCAGCTCTTTCCCTGCAGGTCTTCCCACGTCTGACACTCCTTTCTAACCCCATTTTTCTTTCTCCTCCCTCTTCTGGGGAATGTCAGGACTTGCCACCCATAGAAAGCTTCTTAGTTCTTAAAATCATTCCACATTCCCTATCTCATTTGATCAGAAAAATCTTGTGAGGTGGGTAGGGGGTGGGTTAATTCCCATTCCACTGGTGGAGAGACTGAGGCTATAAGGATAAGCTACTGAGCATCTTGGTAGATTAAACGAGCGGCCCAGAGGGGCCTGAACACCCCACCCCCTCCTTGCATTTTCACTCCCGGTTCAAGTACTTCCAGGCTGCCCTGAACCACTTCTCACAAAGTGGGTCACCCACGGGCCCCTAAGGTAAAGGTTCAGAGGGAGTTGTGCCTGAACAATATGCCATGCAAATGAGATGCAACACAGCACACCACAAATGAACAGCCCCGAACTCCAGGCCTTTTCTGAAACTGGACTGTGGCAGAGGTTCCAGCTTCCAGGTGGACTCTTTCTCCTTTCAGCTGTGCAAACCCTGTCATTCCCTCAGAGGTAGAGCTGGGAGCCTCCCTTCTCTCTCCACACTCCTCCCCCAGTCACCAGCCACACTGGGTGTGTGGCCTAGAACAGGTTTCAGGAGCCAGAAGAGAATGTGAAAGACATTTAGAGATTGGGGTGGGAAGGGGGGTGGTCAGTTTGCCATTTAAGGTATCCAAGCAGAGATCTCATGAGGGCTTCATAATGTAGATGAGCTGACTCCCACGGAGCCTGCATCCTCAGAGGAGGTGTGTATCGCTCACGAGCATCAAGGAGAAGTGCAGGGGCCAGAGGGCCCGGAGGCTCAAAGGCGCACAGTCAGGCAATGGCAAGGCTGTAACCACAGCCCCGGAGTCCTGTTTCCCAGCCCTGCACTCTGTCTTTGATTGTCCTGGGATATTCACTCCCTTGGCCTCAGTTTCCCCAGCTCTACCCTGAGGGATTGGACTCACTGCTTCAAACTCACAAGCTCTCACTTTCTTGGACTCCACAATCCCATGTTAAGGTAGAACCAGAGGATGTCTGAACATGGGACAAAAAGGGAGTCCTGAATTTCCCAACTCCGGGTTCCAGGAGACCTGTCTCTGTGGAGTCCTAAGCTCTCAGGGTTCAGGTGGCTACCCAGGAACAATGAGCCCTTGTGCCTGAAGTTTGGGCACAACCACCCTCTTGATTTTCTGCTTGGCATTCCAGGCGCCACAAACCTGCCATGGCCATACCAGCCTGGCCCCATGGGCAGTGAAAGGAAGTGTGCATGTGAGGCAAAGGCACAACCTCTGGACCTTGGCGGCAAGTGGCCTGTCAATGCTGAATAATAGATGGAGTTCCTGTGGGACTGGGAAAGAAGGGCAGTGACAGAGAAGTTGCACCATCTCAGATTAACCTTTGGGTCACCCACAGAAAAAGAGAGAATCCCAAAAACGCCTTTTTACAGTTTTTTTTTTAACCTCCATTGCCCCAAGTTTCAAAAACTCCATATAATGCCTTCAGCCCATCCTAAACACAGCCCAAGAGCATGGGTCCAGACTTATACACCTATGCACACACGAGCACAGCACGAACTCTTGGGTAACACCCCACGTGCCTGTGTGTATGCGTACACACCTACAGGGCACATATGTACAAATACTTAAAATAGGAAAAAGACTTAGAGATTGGGATTCACAGGCCCTGGACACCCCTTGAATGACCACAGAGAAGCCCCTTTAATCTGAGCTCCCTCTGTAAAACGGAGAGCACATGATCACTTGCCTCATAGAGGCAAGTAGGTTTGAAAGCTGGTAAGAAAGCTCCTGGGCTGTATGCACTTAACTCACCTGAACTGTGCTGGAGGCTGGAGTCAGCAGGCTGAAAAGCAGCTTGTCTTAGAAAGGGATTTGGAGTGAGAGTCACAAAAGGCCTGATTTTCTTTTCTTTTCTTATTTATTTATTTTTTTACAGACAGGGTCTCGCTCTTTCGCCCAGGCCACAGTGCAGTGGTGTGATCATAGCTCACTGTAATCTAAAACTCCTGGGCTCAAGTGATCCTCCCACCTCTGCCTCCCAAAGGGTGGGATTACAGGCGTGAACCACTGCACCTGGCCTCTAGCCTGATTTTCTATCCCAGCTCTGCCTTCATTGAACTGGGTAACTTTGGGCAAGTCTCTTCCTCTCTCTGGACCTCCCTTTCTCCATCTGTAAACGAAGGGAGTTGGACTACAGGAATCCTGACACCCTGTACCTGTCTCCAGACCGGGGTCTGCTTCTCCTTTCTGAGTCCAGGGTGGTGAGGATGGCCTGCTCTCAGACCTCAGCCTTACCCAGAGAAAATAAAGTGGCAGGAAAGCTTCCTAAGAAGGGTGGGACACTGCACAACCAGCCTCCCAAAACATCTGGTTGAGCAGGTGCTCGGGATGCCCTGGGGCATCCAGGTGGGCAACCGAGTCCTAGTCTGGGACAGATGCTGAGGGAGGACCCTCCACCACGAACGCGCGGCTGATTGCGAAACGCCCGTTCCTCACCCGACAGAGGGGCTGGGGTGGAGCCGACTCACCCAGCCACGCACTGTGCCTCACTTTCCCGGGCTCCTCAGTGCTGCAGCCGGGAAGGGAAGAGCAGGGCAGGTCCCGGACCCTGCGTGGGACCCAGCTCCGGGCGGCGCCGCCAACCTCCCTCCCGCGCCCACCGCCCCCTCTCGGGCGCCCAGGCGGTCTCAGGGGCTCCGTCCCGGGATACCTGCCGGCCTCGCGGGAAGGCAGGCGGCGAGGACCGGGCGAAGCCGGCCAACCCCGACCCCCGCGCGGTGACCCCGGAGCCCCGCGCCTTACCCAGAACTTGGAGCCGAGCTCCCCGGAACCGCACAGGGTGTCCATGGGGCCAAGGCGCGGCAGCGAGGAAGGCGAGCGCGGTCCGACCCAGCGGCGGGCAGAGCGGGCGCCGGAGCCGCCTCCGCCCTCCGCACCCCGCGCTCCGCCCGGGCCCGCCCCGCCGAGCCCTACCCCAGTGCCTCTGGGTCCAGTCTCCCTGCCCCCGTCCCGCGGGTTGCGACAGCGCCTCCCTGGGAGGGACTTTGGGGCAGAGGTGGGGGGGCCTTGGCACGGCGACAGCTCCTGCGAGCGGTCCCCGGGCCATGCCAGGGGGATGTCCCTCTGAATACCGAGGCTGACAATCCTGGAGTAGAGTCTATTTCCAAGGGGGAACTGGGATACACAGGCGCTCCCACCCCCGAACAACTCCGTGGGGCCGATGAGTCACTGAGTAGGGGACATTGGGAGAGGGATTTAACAATCCTTCCTAGGAAAAAAGGAATCTTTGAGAAGGTCACGTTCCTCTCCGGAGGGCGGTTTCCTCATCTGTAGAATGGGAAGGGCTTCCGTGCTCAATCCGGAAGCTGACCTCTTCCTCGTCAGGTTCCAGGGGCCACTGGCAGGCGCCACGCTCTGGGAACCGGGGTGTACTGCGCGGGTGTGTACCCGTGAGGCGAGGGTGGGGGCCGCAGCATCGTCCAGGGGGCCTCCTATGTCCTCTTAAACTGCTGCCCTTTTAGGCTCTGTGGCCCCCTGACCTTGCCACATCACTTCGGCACCTCTCTGGGCCTCTACTTTCACATCTGTAAGATAGAGACAATCATAGAAGAATCTTCCTCCCAGGGTTCTCTGAGGATTGAATGGAAAAGGTATGCAAAGTGTATCGCCTGGCACACTTAGTGGGGCACCCAACATGTGTGAATTCCCTCTGCTTCAGCCTGATCAGGGTGGGGGGAAGGACAGGCGAAGCCCCAGGAGGAGCCCCACGTGAGTGTCCTTGTCCCCCTCCTAAGGCTGAAACTCTACATTCCCAATCTGTAAAATGGGCTTGTCAGTGCTCTCCTTCCCCTGCTTGCCTCAGCTCTCCTTCTCCCCGTATCCCCTCAGATGTGGGGATGCCTCCATCTCTCAATCCCGCTCTTGCCCTGTCTTCCTTAACACAATCCCAGAAGCCAACTCAGCACCCCTTGTTGGGACTCAGAAGGAATTCTCCTGGGCAGATCTTTCCCTGGCCCTTCTCTTCCCTGCCTTCGCACACAGGCCTGTCCAGTTTCACCCTGGTCACCCCTTTTCTGACCCTTGTTCTCAAGAGAAGGTGTTTCCTTCCTTGGCTGCTCAGCGCAGGCGTGGGTGGGAGCCAGTAAGGGTGCAGAAGCGACAAACCACTTCCTATCTCTCTGGGCAGGCAGGAGGTCACTAGAAGGGAAGTCTCCTTGGCTATAGGCTATCAGAACCAAGATCTGGCTGGGCATGGGATAAGCGTGGGAGTGGGGAAGACTCCCCCTTCCCAGGCAGTGAGACTGGGGACTCCTACCCCTCCACTGGGCAAGTTCTTTACGCCCCGTCTTTGTCTGCCCTCTTCCCTTCCACTCATCCACACACATCCTCCCTCTCCTGTCCCCCGACCTTCCTCTCTGGGCAAAAGACTTTACAGAGCTTTACACCTTGTTACAGTGTGCCTTGGGTTATATTTAGTTATGAAGAGTCTGTCTTCCCTGCTAGTCTGAGAGGTCCCCAAGGGCAGGGACTAACTCAGTCCCCTCCAATCCCCCTCTGTACCTTTTATACACTGTATGATCTCAAAAAACTCCTTGATGTCTCTGGGACTTCATTTCCTAAGAAACGTGGACAAGGTGATATCTAAGCTCTCTTCCAGCCCTGGTGGGCCAGGCTTCTACGGCCTAGGCAGCTGGGAACCTTCCTCTACCCCTTCCATGACCCTTCATCAGCACCCTTCATCAGCACCCACCACCCCTGTGTTTTGACCTTGTCTACCCACCGGCTTCCTCCAACTCTCCCTCCTGTCTCATTCCTTTTCTAGGGCTTGTGAGGTCATAGGCACCAGATCGCTCTGGGCTTGAGGAGACCTGGGGACTTTTCTTTAGGGCCCTCTGGGAGGTGAGCTCCCCAGGCAGACCCCCTTTCTGAGATGGAGAGCCCAGAACTAGCCTGAGCTTCCATCCGGGACTTTCCAGACCCACAGTTGGCCAGGTAGTCCATTGGCTAGAGCTCTAGTTTTGGGCCAGGACCCTTGGGTTCTGGCTTCAGCATCGGAGCTGAGGCACCACCCCTTGTAGCCCCTGGCTTTTCTATTGCAATTGCCTTCCCAAGGCTACAGCACTGGGTTGGGGACTCTGAGGTTGTGGTGGGGGCCCTTGGCGACCCTCACCTTCCCCCATCTCTTTTGAGGCATTGGGGCTTCACCCCTCTGGGCCACTCAGGAAGTGTGTCCCCTTCCAGAGACTCCTTGAATAATAACCACAATATTTCTAGGATGTTATTGTTTTGGTTGTTCTCACTAGAGCAAGAAATCTGAGGCCCTGAGACACCCTACAGCCTGCCCAGGGCCACAGAGCTTATCTCGGCACAGGCAGGAGGTGCCCCATGTCTGCCTGCCGAGGAGGCTGTTTCTGCGCAGTCTCCTTGAGCGGGATGCTCTTCCCGGATCTGTCTTCAAGGCTGCTTGGTGCACTCTCCTACCTACACCCTGTCTCCCTTTCTGCTAGCGGCAAACTTCTTCAAGAGTTCATTCAAGCCCCCCACCCCCTCAAAGCCTTCCTTGGACCTCCCCAACCTAGTCCTGGGCTAGGAGGCTTCCTCCGCTTGTAATCACTGTCTTGCTTACCTTGCCCAGAGGACTGTGGATACCTTGAGGATAGGGACTGAGGTTTGTTTATAACTGTATCCTCAGCACCCAGGACAGTGCCTGGAGAAGCTGGTCCTCAGGAAGTGTTGTTGACCGATTAAGCAAACACCTCATTTCCTAAGAAGGAGTCATAGGCAACAAGGCCACTGCGACATTAGGTACAGTCCCAGCAGTAGGTGCTGCCCACTTTGCTTTTGAGTGTTCAGAACCAAGATGGTTCTTGCTGGAAGGGCTCCCGAGAGAAGCAATAACGGCCTTGTGGGTTGGGCTGCAGCAGAGAAATGGACTAAACCTCTCCCAGCCTTTATGGCCCAAACCCCATCCTCCCTCCCCAACTGACTGCTGCTCCAGGCAGGATGGATGGAGCATGTGCGGTGCCTCCCCCGCAGTGAGTGTCCCAGGGGAACCCGGCATCAGGGATTTCCTGGCAAGGAGATGGAAAGATAAAATAATTGCAAGGTACAGCTCAGAGCAGGCATGACAGCAGAGAGAAGAAAGCAGAACAGTGGGGGACGGGGAGACCCAGGCACAGGAAATGCTTCGAAGGGGGAAGAGGCAGGTTGGAACTGACAAGACAGAGGGGCAGGGTGTGGAATAGCAAAGCTTCCCCTCCAAGCACCGCCTGATTCCTTTTAGCCCCTTGCGGCTCCTTGGAGGCCTGGAGCACCCCCAAACCAGGCTGTAGCTCCCACACCCCAGCCTACCCCTTGTCCTCTCCCCTGAAGTGGGGTCTGCTTCCTCCAGACCCCAGTCTGGTGGTGACCCCACTGGTCCCACCCATGGCCCTCAGTGAGGCTGCCCCTCTGCCACCAACCTGCACTTGATCTGATTTGGCATGCAGGGGAGAGTGCTGGCTGCTGTGCCCGATTCTGGAGTTTTCAAAGCAAGAAGAATTAATTAGTTCTGTGGGCCACAGTCAGCAGATCCCACACCTGGAACCAAGGCTAAGACACGCAGTTTTAAAGTTCTTAGCAGAATCCCCTCTTGGGGCTTAGGTGGAGCAGCTGCCTCCTTGACCTGCCTTGCTGTGCCCTGGAGTGGGACTCCAGGCCACAACTCAACTTGCTTTGAGAGTTCCTTTCCTTCCTGGCAACCACGGTCCTGGATTAGCCCTGGGTCTCCTAGATTCAGGCAGGAGTCATTGAACACCGCGGGCTCAGCACTCAGATGGCGGGGATTCCTGTTTGGGCTTCTCCATACACAAAGTCCTTCAATGGACCCTGCAAGCCTGCTTCCTCCTTCTGAGGTTATACAGAACACCTGTCCCTAGAAGGTGTCCATCAGTGTTGGTGCCCTCTCCCTGGCTTGGTCCCTCTGCAGGAGGGGCACCAGGTGCACCAGGTGAGGGTGCCCTGTGCCGCCACCTGGTGTCTGACGCCCTCATTGCACTGCTGTTGCCAGTCCCGCTCCACAGGCTGCTCAACTGGCCCAAGGAAAGAGAAAATAGGCCAAGGGGCACCAGGCTGTGGCAGGTGGGGACTAGGGTGGAGACAGGAGTGAAAGCTGTTTGGAAAGTGGGCGCGGTTTAGGTAGGTAGGGCAGGGCTAGAGGAGAGGAAGAGAGAAGAGGGCGGGATGGGGAAGAGAACAGGTACCATGGGGTTCAAGGGCAGGGTTATGACGTGGAAGGGTGGTGCCTGGGAACCCAGAGTGATTGCAGAGCTACCCTTGGCCGGCTCTTGGACAAGCGTCTGGAGTTGAGGGATGCCTTCTCCAGTGATTGAACCCCTCTTGCCACCATTCCCTATGGCCAAAGGCTGGTGGCCCACCAGGTGGGAGGCTGGGGGCCTCTCTAAGCCTCTGAGTTTGCCATGCGGGGAACACGTGTGCCTATTTGTATGAATATGAATTGTGACTACTTTGGAAAAGCGCCCCCCAGCAAGTAATTTTTGAGCAGGATTCTTCCCATTGTGCCCCATTTCCTCTACACTGAGTAGAGACAGGAGTAGTGTGGGCTGGAGGTTGGCCAGACCTAGGGTCAAATCCCAGCTCTGCCATTCCCTGGCTGTGTGACCATGGGCAATTCACTTAACCTCTCTGACCCCCGCTGCCTCATGGAGAAATAGCAATCAAACTTCCGTGCTAGGGTGTTTTGAGGAGTGAGAGACTGCATATGAGCCTCAGATTTGTTTTTATCCCCAGCTCAGCTCACTCCTCTTCCCAGTCCCCACCCCCACACAGACCTTTTCCTGGAGTCTTGGGGGTGGAGGAAGCAGAAGCAGCCAAGCTTGAGGTGGGGGCCTACAGCCGCTGACACAATTTCTTCTGAACCCCAAAGGGGAAGGCTGAGGACAAAGGCGCCAGGGTAGATGTTCCTACTTCTAAAAGCCTGAAGCCCCTAACCAGTTCCATTCTGCCCCTGGAGTCCTCATCCAAGGCCTGCTGCCCCTACCAGCCACTCCCCACCCCAGCCTCCTTCAGTTTCTCCACCCTCTACCCCCACCCGCTACGTATCCCAGAGCAGCATCAAATAACCACCCAGACAAGCAGCATGAGGTTAGCAGTCTTGATATTATTATTAAGATCCAGCGGCAGCTGCTTTTCCACCTCAAAACCCTTTTAATGAGACACAACAGTTTCCATCATTGATAAAGATTTTACATCGTTGGGGGGAGAGGTCACAGTTCTCTCCCCGACTCCCCCAAAATACCCACTTTGACTCTACTATTAATATTTCCACATCACTATCCAGAGGACCCCCTCCAGGCACTGCCCTTTTCCAGAGAAACCCTCCAGGCCACAGAGAGGGCTGCTGGCGAGGAAGCAGGTGAGTCTTTTTGTTTTCACCAGGCTGGTCCCTGCAGATCTCTACAGAGCAACCCAAAAGCATAGTAAGTTCACCCCAAATTCCTCGGTCCCTGCTGGGAAGAGGAGGCCAGGGGAGGGGGAACCCAGAAAGAAACAGGCATGCTAAGACTCAACCTAAGCGACTCTCCAGTACTCCAGTGCTGCTGGGCTGTGCAAGTGGTGGTGGTGGTGGTGGGTGGGGGTGGGGGGGTGCTGGAAGGATGGGGGTGGGTAGGAGTCCAGCTCTCTGGCTTCACCTTGACCCAGAATCCTCTAACCACTAGAAGAATAAAAGATCCCAGAACCCCCTGCCCATATCCTCCAACCTCATTAGGGAATAGACAGCTACAGAATTCTACAAAAATATAAAAGCTTAGTCTGCAGATCCAGGTGACAGAACTCTAGGAATTTTGTATAGCTTTGCTTTTTTTTTAAATCTTAAATGGCAGCTCCTACAAGCGCTCCCTCTCCCCACCCAAGGAGGCCAGAGGAAAAAGTCTGACATTATTGCACACCCTAAAAGGAGAAAACCAAGCATTGGCTTCAAGGACTGGTATCAGTTCTCTCCAAAAGAGCAATGAGGAAAGCTCTCACCCAGCTTAGAAAACACAAGGCTGGACAGCGCCTCCAGGTCCACTCGCCCGGCAGCCTGGTGCTCCCAGTTCCCAGCTGACCAGGTCAGACAGTGCGTGAACGAGCATTGCCAGTGAGGTTTCAAGAACCCAATCCACTCCTGGGGTTTGAAGGCCTTGGGGGCGAGGGGATAGGGCTGTTCAAGGGAGTGGGGTTGGGACAGATGTTTGGGAGTGGCTAGGTGACAGGCTGCCTGGACCCATGGTCGCCACCTCTTGGCACCAAGATTTCAGACAAGAGAATATTGTCTGCAGTAGCACCAGACAGGTGGCCTGGGCCACGCCACTCCCCCTCTTCCCGCCTGTCTGTCCCTGACCACCTTCAAACCTCCCTTCTCCACGGGCTCCCCCTGGGCAGGCAGCAGCAGCAGTGCATGTAAACATCTTGAGCGCTCGCTCATCACCACCCAGGGGGCCAGCTCCCCACTCAGCAGCCTGCAGCCTGGCCTCCGACCCTACCACCTCCACCAGAAGGTTGCCTCTGGACGCCCAGCCCTGGACCCTCATCCTCAGGAAGGGCAGCCCAGTCCATTTACACAGCTTAATTCCATTGCGGGCAGGTGGATGAGGTCCCCATCGGGCAGTGCCTGTAATGCCAGTCAGCTAAGCCCACCCCCAAGGGCAGGAGGCTGAAGTCCAGGCAGCTCAGGTCACGCATCCAGCCAGAAGTGTGGCAAATCTGTGCTGAAGCTTCAGGAAGGAAAACCCAGAAACACTTCCCCCCTCCCCCACCAACCCACAGATCCAGATCTGCAGCCTCTGAGGCAACCTCCCCCAGCCTCAGTCGGCCCCATTAACCAAAACAGCTTCATTATGCCAATTTCCAGCTTTCAATGTGCGGCTGATAGCTGTCAGCAGAAATAAGAGTTAATCTGGAATTACTCCCATTCACTGAGCTGCCTAGCTAGAGGAAGCAGTAAAGCTTTGATAGCAGCAGAGGAGACCCTGCCTCCCCAGCCTGCACCAGGCGGAGGGGCTTCTCCTCTCCTTCACAGCTGGGGAGGGCGGGCTAGAGGTGCAGCCTTCCAGAGCAAAGGGTTCAGGTTCTCTCACTCTCAGACACGCACACACTCACACTCATATACACACACACTCATATACACAAACACATACACACTCATACACAAAGAGGCAGCCCTGAAGCTTCCCTCCCCACCGCCCACTCCCCATCTCCAGGATCTCTCTCTCATCAGTGCCATCTGGACGTGCCTAACTCTCCATCCCTTTTGCTTTTACTCTGGACCGTGATTAGCTTTTTATTTAGGAAAATTACTTTATTTTATATATATATATATAGATATGTATGTATGTATATATAAAAAGATTCCATTTCATTTGTAAAATCTCATTTTTTCTTTTTCTTTTTTTTTCCCTACAGAAAATGATGACGAGGTTAAAGGAGAAAATAAGTTACATTACAGTTTCCAAAATGGTTCTCGCTCTCCGCTGAAGATGGGCCACCGTTGGGGCTGCAATGCGCTCGCGGTCCCAGCTTGTGCTTTGCAAGAAGAGGGATTATAACTAGACTGTTATTTTAGGTTAAAATAGCCAAGAGACAGACGCCTTCGCCTCAAAAATATTCTGAGACACATAAAAGTAGAAGGAAACAAGTCTCTTCAGTCACAAAATGTCGTACATCCCGCATATACTAGATTCAATTAATTTAATAAAATAGAATATACATAGAGATTCTGCACAGACGTATTGCTTTCTCCCAACAGCTCCTGGTGTTGGGAACCTCAGCTGCACCGGGCCTCTCCTTCTGCCTGGAGCCAGAGTTGCCAGGGCTGCTGCTTTTAACTCTCTTTGGAAGTTCTGCTTGCAGGTACCCAGAGCCACTGAGGCAGGGAGGAGCGCCTCCGCCTCCTTGGTGTCTATATGGAACTTTTGTCAGGAATATAGCCCAGGAGGAGGAGCTAGGACTTGGCACCCAGTGGAGAAAGGTGAGTGGGAAAGTGGGGCAGGACTCAGGGGTCCAGGTCTGCCGGGTCAGAGGATAAACCGGAGAGACTCAGCACATCTTTCTTTGGGGAGGGCGAGGCAGCCATGCTGTCAGGGGGGCCGGAGGCCAAGGGATCCTTGGAGTCGCTGGATGGAGCCCTCCTCCGGAGGCAGACGCCAGGGCTGGGCGGGGGCCGAGGGCCTTGGCTCTCGGGGGGGTCTATGGAGATACTGGGCGGGCTGAGTTTTTTCTTGGGTCGGCTCCCAGGCCCCCCAAGAGGCTGGCCCCCAAGGTTAGAGGGGTCTGTGCCCAGGTGGGGTTGGGAGCCACTGTCCAGGCAGCTGACGGCGATAGAGTGTCTCCTCTGCTCATCCAGCCAGGACGTGGGCCGGCGCTGGCAGCTCTGGGCCTCCACGCTGTAGCACTTCTTCAGGTCCCGTGGGGATGGGGGCTCCTCCTGGCCGCCAGGGGGCAGGAGGTCTCCTGAAATCCAGCTCAGCTCCGTGTCCAACTCTAAGCTGCTTCTGGTCTCTGGAGGGCCCTTGTCCCAGTTGGGTTGTGGGCCTGGGCAAGGGGCTCGCGGGGGCATGTGCTTGGAGATGTTGCTGTGGCTGCGGGAGTGCTGCTGCGCCTGGGTGCTCGACTGGCCCCAGAAAGAGTAGGCCCGGGCCAGGGGCAGGGAGGGCCCACTCACCTCTGCCAGCAGGTCTTCCCGGCTGCCCAGGCCCTGAACGTCCAAGGAGTCAGTCCTTATTGCTGCCTATATGGGGGGCGGGGAGGGCTCAGCCCAGCAGTCTCCTCTCCAGCATGGACTAGCCCTCCTGTCAAGCTGGCTGTGCCTCCCGCCCACCACCACCACGCACTGCAGGACCACCCTACACAGAGGTCCTGGTAGCCGCTCTTACTTGGAGATAGGGGTCATTGCAGCCTGACCTCTGTGGTCCACTATGTCTCCTCTCCCCCCACTAAACCCCGTCTTCCCTCCCCCATGCTCTGGTCTCCCCTCAGCCTGCAAGAATCGCTGTCTCTGCAGCCCCTGCCTCCTGGGCTATGAGAGAGAAGCCAGGCCATCTCTGCTTACTGAGCTGGCTCCTTCACGCCTCCCTGCCTCTGCGTAGACTTCCCCTTTGGCTCTGTATACCCTTCCAGATTGGCAAGAATCCCTCGATTTTACAGACTCAGGTTCTCTGTGACACAGGGTGTGACAGTCTCCGTTCCCAAGTAAAACCGACCCCTTCCTCTTCTGTGTCCCTGCTGCCCCCCACACGTGGGTGTCTGGCGGCCGTGAGCTGAGGCTACAATGATCTGATGGCAGGTATGTCTCCACTATTAGACTGTGAGCTTCAGGCGGCAGGGGCTGTGTCCCCGGTGCCTGGCACACAGAGGCTGCTTAGTGACTATTTACAGAATGAATAAGGACTGTGCCTGCTGCCCCAAGCATATGAGATTGAGATTCTCATGTGTCCATGCTCATGCCTTAGGACACACACACGGCATGGGCTGTGGCCTTATGCAGGTGGGCTCTGGGGCCGGGCGTGGTGGCTCACGCCTGTAATCCCAGCACTTTGGGAGGCCAAGGCGGGCAGATCACTTGAGGTTGGGAGTTCGAGACCAGCCTGACCAGCATGGAGAAACCCCGTCTCTACTAAAAACACAAAATTATCCAGGCATGGTGGTGCATGCCTGTAATCCCAGCTACTCGGGAGGCTGACGCAGGAGAATCGCCTGAACCCAGGAGACGGAGGTTGCAGGGAGCCAAGATCGTGCCATTGCACTCCAGCCTGAGCAACAAAAGCAAAACTCAAAAATACAAAACAAAACAAAACAAAACAAAAGAATGTGGGCTCCGGAAGGTGGGCCCCAGACTTGGCCAAAAGTGAAGACACTTAAAACCTGCCTTGTGCCCCACAGCTCAGCCTAAAGTGTGGAGAAGAATTGGGAGGCAGCTCTGGTTGGTGAGGAAGGAAAGCCCAGAGACTTGGGTTCTACCTCCGACCAGATAGGCGTGACCCTGGGCAAGCACTACCCCTTCTGGTCTCCAGGTCTCCTCAGTGGAACAAGGAACCAGGTGCAAATTTCAAGAAGGCACACACCGCTTCTGCTTTGCCCAGTACTGTGTCCCTGGTATCTGCAACTGAGCCTGGCACATCACTGGCACACAATAAATGTTTGCTGGAAGAATGAAAGTGTCAACTCGGGTCATCACCAGCAGCAGAGGGTCCAGCCCCAGGCCTGTGCCTGCCTTTCCACACCTGCTCACCTGGCGCCTGAGTGGCCTTTGAGCCAAAGGGGAGCGTCCTGGTGGGGGCAGTTTGGGGATGGTGCCCCAGGTTGGGGTGCTGTAGGGCTGAAGCAGATGAGGTGCATCTTTGGGAAGCTGCAGGATGTAGCTGGTGTCTGCTGGCTGGGAGTGAACGGACAAGACGGAGCCTGTGGAGGGAGGGAAGCAGGAGAGGGGTGGGGGGAGAGAATGGAGCTGGAGGGTTCAAGGGAGCAGGCGCCCTCCTGAGCCCTCCCTTCCACTCTCTGCCCCTCATCAGGGCCTCTACCCTTACCCCCTGGACTGAAAGCCATTCCCCCAGGCTGGAGGCTCCCCTAAGGTCAGAGAGACCACTTTGGCTGCCTCAGTTCCCCATCCCCTCAGATCAGGACTGGCTTAGGCCAGGATGGAATCTCCCGTGTGAGCCAAATTGGCCTGCTCCAGCCCTGGTACCTGACTGAGCTTTGGGGAGCCCCCAGCCCCTCTGTCCCAGGGGCCCCTCGGCAATGCTCCCATGCCGACACATGTAGCTGTCATTGGGCAGAGAGTGCGTTCGGCTGACCCCAGACTTCCGCACGGTCAGTAAGTCTGGTCCTGGCAGCTCCGTGGGGTGGGGCTGTACCTGCAAAAGGAACAGGGGAGGGAGGTGGAGGAAGAGGGTATGTCTGGCTTTGGTAACTGAGGCAGAGCTGACAATAGAAAGCAGCCGCGCCCCCCTGCCCAGCCCTCACCCCCGTACCCTCCCAGGACAAGGTAGAGATGGGCATGAGCGTGGCTGGGGAGAAGGGCAGACACATGGATGAGGCCTCCACACGCGGGGAGGAAGCAGGTAGGAGGGGGTCTGGGCAGCCGGGAGAGTCTGCAGGCCCTGCGTCCCACCCCCTGCAAAACTGTACACAATGCATCACCTTTAAGCTCCCACTGTGGTGGTGGAGGGGTGAGGAGGTGTCCAGAGAAGGGAGAGCAGCCCCCAGCCCCCAGCCCTGCAGGTGGCTCACGAGCTCATTCTAAAGGCTCCATTTCAAGGCTCTGAAGGGAGTTCTGGTGTCCACAGGGACGGGCTGGAGCCCTGACCCAGAGCAGCTCAGGGGAGGATTAAAAGCTAACAGCAGGCCAGGCACAGTGGCTGGTGGCTCATGCCTGTAATCCCAGCACTTTGGGAGGTCAAGATGGGCAGATCGCTTGAGCTCAGAAGTTTGAGACCAGCCTGGGCAACATGGCAAAACCCCATTTCCAAAAAAAAAAAAAAAAAAAAAAAATAGCTGGATATGGTGACGTGGCACCCATAATCCCAGCTACTCTGGAGGCTGAGGTGGGAGGATTGCTTGAGCCCGGGAGGTCAAAGCTGCAGTAAGCTGGGATCTTATCTCTGCACTCCAGCCTAGGCAACAGAGCGAGACCCTGTCTCAAAAAAAAAAAAAAAAAAAAAAAAAGCCAACAGCAGCCAGCAGCCCCCACAACCCTGCGCTGTCAGGGGAGGTGATGGGGAGAGGACCCTCCCAAGGAGCAGGGACCAGGCAGCTCAGGAGAGCTTGCAGGTTGCAGGCTGTTCATCCGATTCTTACAGCAGCCCCAGGTCCCAGCATAGGGCGTGGGTTGGGTTCAGGTGGGTTGAATGGCAGATGACCACCAGAGGCGTATCACAGCTGGCTCCCTGACCTCCACTTTAACCAATGACTCTGGCAGGTGGGGGTGGAGGCCACATTCAGCTGCTCCCTTAGTGGACAGACTCGGGGTGGGAGTGGGGTTGTTGCTCTGTTTCAGAGAAGGGAGGTACTCAGCCTTGGACTCCAGCATGAGGGAGCCTAGGTTTGTTCTCAGGAGGTTTCTCCATCACCCTGTGGTCCCCTTCCCCCTGAACCCTTCGCCCCTTGTTCTCAGGGAGGCTGTAGGAGTCCTGTCCCCATGCAGGCCCAGCCAGTTAAATAGCCCCAGCAGGCCTGAGGATGGCTAAGTTGGAGGACAATCTTATTTTGCTTCCCCTCTCAGCCCCAGGCTCCACTCTGCCAGCCACCCAAGACCCCTAGGGACACCCCAGCTGGTCCAGTCCCTCAGCTGGGCCCTCCTCCGACAACAGGAGGGGAACGGTCGGTTGGTCGGGAGGAGGGGGCTGCTCACAGTCAGAAGGGACTGGAGCTGGAGAAGGGAAAGGGTAGGGAGGTTGTCAGAGCACAGAGAAGCCCCTCCCACCCCACTGAGTTTGGTGAAGACACAGGGACACACAGGGACAGTGACGGAGGAGACAGGAACAGCGCCCCAGGTGAAGAAGGGCATGGCAGTGGTGGCAGAGATGCGGCTCTCACCCACCACGTGGTGTGAAGGTCTCATATTGTGGGGGTGGGGTGGGGAGGAGGCGGGCAGGGACAGGGAGGGCTGGCTTGCACAGGGCTCCAAATGCATAGACTGACTCTGATGACACCTGTTCTGGGCCGTGTCACTCCTGGATTCACTTTTTCATAATGGCTGCCCCTATAGCCTTCAGGGCAA